TGTTTGGGAACCGCCTATAATGTGTGTAGCATGGAAGATATCGCCATCTCTTAGTTGTTATGTTGACAATGAAAGTATCCCTCTCAAAATATTATTTATCTCTATTTCAAAACCGAGCTCTGGCACCTCTACAAATCCCTGCTTCCCTCTGCGAAGGGTCTATCTATTTACTTTTATGTTGAGTCATCACCCTCTTATTAAAAAGCACTTGCTGGAGAGCACAGCTGTCATTTGCATTCATTACTATTAATTTATATTGGGTATGACTATGACTGGATCTCTTTTACCATGAATTACAATGTCTAGTCAGTCCTTGATCTTTAAAGGTGCTCTGCATTTATGTTTTGCGGTCTCAGAAAGGGCTAGCGAGATACCATCCTGTTATATCATATTATGATTGTTTTGAGAAAGTGTTGTCATCCGAGATTTATTATTATGACTCGCTAGTTGATTATGCTATTGATATGAGTAAACATGAGACCTGAAAATTATTGCAAATGTGGTTAGTCATGATCCTTGCTGAAAACTTGAATGCTGGCTTTACATATTTACAACAACAAGAGCAAACATAGTTTGTAAAAGTTTTCTTTCTCTTTCAGTTTATCAACTGAATTGCTTGCAGATAAGCAAAGGTTTAAGCTTGGGGGAGTTGATACGTCTTCGTCGTATCTACTTTTCCAAACACTTTTGCCCTTGTTTTGGACTCTAACTTGCATGATTTGAATGGAACTAACCCGGACTGACGCTGTTTTCAGCAGAATTGTCGATGTTGTTTTATGTGTAGAAAACAAAAGTTCTTGGAATGACCTGAAACTCCACGGAACATCTAGTTAAAAATAATAAAAAAATCCTTGCCAAAGATGCAAACCAGGGGGCCCACACCCTGTCCATGAGGGTGGAGGGCGCGCCCCCCTAGGGCGCGCCCCTACCTCGTGGGCCCCCTGGAGCTCCTCCGACGCCAACTCCAACTCTATATATTTGCTTTCGGAGAGAAAAAAATCAAGGAGAAGAAATCATCGCGTTTTACGATACGGAGCCGCCGCCAAGCCCTAAAACCTCTCAGGAGGGCTGATCTGGAGTCCGTACGGGGCTCCGGAGAGGGGGATTCGTCGCCATCATCATCAACAACTATCCTCCATCACCAATTTCATGATGCTCACCGCCGTGCGTGAGTAATTCCATCGTAGGCTTGCTGGACGGTGATGGGTTGGATGAGATCTATCATGTAATCGAGTTAGTTTTGTTAGGATTTGATCCGTAGTATCCACTATGTTCTGAGATTGATGTTGCTATGACTTTGCTATGCTTAATGCTTGTCACTAGGGCCCGAGTGCCATGATTTCAGATCTGAACCTATTATGTTTTCATGAATATATGTGAGTTCTTGATCCTATCTTCCAAGTCTATAGTCACCTACTATGTGTTATGATCCGGCAACCCCGAAGTGACAATAATCGGGACCACTCCCGGTGATGACCGTAGTTTGAGGAGTTCATGTATTCACTATGTGTTATTGCTTTGTTCCGGTTCTCTATTAAAAGGAGGCCTTAATATCCCTTAGTTTCCATTAGGACCCCGCTGCCACAGGAGGGTAGGACAAAAGATGTCATGCAAGTTCTTTCCCATAAGCACGTATGACTATATTCGGAATACATGCCTACATTACATTGATGAATTGGAGCTAGTTCTGTGTCACCCTATGTTATGATTGTTACATGATGAACCACATCCGGCATAATTATCCATCACCGATGCAATGCCTACGAGTTTTCCATCTACTGGTTTACACTTATTTACTTTCCCGTTGCTACTGTTACAATTACTACAAAACACCAAAAATATTGCTTTTGCTTTTGTTACTCTTTTGTTACCGTTACCACTACTATCATATTATTGTGCTACTAAATACCTTGCTGCAGATATTAAGTTATCCAGGTGTGGTTGAATTGACAACTCAGCTGCTAATACTTGAGAATATTTTTTGGCTCCCCTTGTGTCGAATCAATAAATTTGGGTTGAATACTCTACCCTCGAAAGCTGTTCCGATCCCCTACACTTGTGGGTTATCAGAGGTCCTCTCGGCTATTTTCAGGAAGGGAGCAGAGGAAGGGGTTTTCAGCTCTTTTAATGGGATTTCAGCTACTCAGCGCTTGCCGATTTACGCGGATGATGTGGCAATATTCATCAAGCCTACGAATCAAGACATCACCTTTGTCAAACATGCCTTGCAATGCTTTGGGACTGCCTCTGGACTTGTTGTTAATTACACCAAATCTAATGCAATCATGACCAGGGGAACTGAGGAGGACAGGGACAGAGTTAAAACGAACCTGGCATGCGCTATTGCTGAGTTTCCTTGTAAATATCTGGGGATTCCGCTAGCTATAAAACAACTCACTCGAGCTGATTGGCTACCGATGTTGGATCAAGTCCGTAAAATCTTGCCTGCGTGGCAGCGTGGCCTGATACAAAGACCTGGCAGACTTGTACTTGTCAAATCAGTTATGTCGGCAAGGCCGATTCATCAACTGATGGTGTTAAATGCTCCGGACTGGGTCTTTGAGGATATCAATGCATGGATGAGGTCGTTCTTCTGAGCTGGCAAGGATCGAGTTAACGGTGGATAGTGCCTTGTGGCTTGGAACACGATATGTCGGCCAACTTGTTATGGAGGTTTGGGAGTGAAAAACATCAAGATGCAAGCCTTGGCACTCAGAGTGAGGTGGGAGTGGCTCAGACGAATTGACCAAACTCGACCGTGGCAAGGAATCCCGTTCCTCATCGATGAGGATGCGCGTAGTGTGTTTAATAGCTTGGTGAAGATAACTGTTGGCAATGGTGAAAGCGTGCTTTTCTGGAAGGATAGATGGCTAAATGGTATGTCGGTGGCTGACATCGCCCCTGCTATTCTCTCGTTGGTGCATAAGCGAGCGCATAATCAACGGACAATATGTCAAGCCTTGATTGCCAACAGATGGGAGCTTGATATTAGTGAAGACATACCTTTTATGGCCCTCATCCAGCTTATGCACTTGCGGTTGGCGATTTTAGAAATCGAGAGAGATATGCAGGCGCCCGATGAGTTCTCCTGGCCGTGGGATACTTCTGGAAAGTATACGGCTAAATCGGTGTATAGCAGACTATGCTTGGGGGCTGACAAGATTTGAAACTTTTCAATGCATTTGGCGGAGTGGGGCTATTCTCAAATGCAAAATTTTTGCTTGGCTGGCTGTTCAGTACAGATTGTGGACTTCGGATACGAGGGCTCGGCACGGCTTGCAGGACGAGACTGCTGCGTGCTATACCTGTTTACAGGATGAGGATACGATTGATCACATCCTGATGCATTGCGGATATGCGAAGGAGGTGTGGTACTCCTGCCTCATGCAGTTGGGGATCAGCGCCCCGCAACCAGATCAAACACACACTTTCACATCTTGGTGGCACGAAGCACGTAAGGTCATACCTACTAGGCACATGCGCGGTTTCGATTCTTTCATCATACTTGCTGCTTGGTCGCTATGGAAACAAAGGAATGCTAGGGTATTTGAACGCACGGAACAACAAAAGAGTACACAACAACTGACTTCTCAGATCATGGAGGAGTTGAGAGAATGGCACACCGCGAGAGTTGGACGTTTACACCATTTTACGAGAGATTAGTCTAGTGAGTATGTAGGTGTTGGTGTTGGAGTGGCTAACGGAATGTTCGCATCCTTATTTACCTTTTTGTAAATACTTTACTCTCTTTTATATAAAAATATGGTACGTTATTGACGTGAAAAAAAAGTTTTCGCCGAAAGTTCCGCTGGATACGCGCGCGAGCGTCCTGCGTCCCGGCGCGCGTGAAGGGCTGACGGTTCCGTCCTCTCTCTGACTGACCCTCTCTAGGTCAGCAATGCCGGAAGCCGCCACTGAAGAGGGAGAGGCGTCGGGGTCCGGATCAACTCGCGCGCTCCGCCGCAGCCAGAGGTTCACGGCTGCAGCAAGTTCCACGGCGACGACCCGGTCGATGGCCCTGGTGCGTGCGCGGCAGTCCCCGGGGTCCCAATCTCCACAGGAACCATCCGCGCGATCCAATACAAGGAAGAGAAAGAAGGGGCCGGCTGCCAACCAGAAACCGAAGACACGGGAGGAGCAGGAGGAGGAGGTCTCATCCGCAGACAGCTCCCCAATTCGCGAGCCACATATCCCGGATGAGATGTATCGACTTGATGATCTGGATACGTCCAAAGTCATTCAGAAGGCACTAGGAGATCATTTGGACAAAATAGGTATGCCATCCAAGTCGTCTCGATTACTTTCCATGGTTTCACCACCAGTGAGAAAAGTTATCAACCACTTCCGAACGAAGTATTGTGTTCGGCATATGAGTGTTTACTTCTGTGTACTGATTTTCTTGTAGCTCGCCATATGGGATTGCCTACTCTGAATGTGCACATGTGCAGAGCTTCCATGTGCGTTCTTGATGACCCAAATCTGGTTCCTGATCGTGAATCTTCAAGAAAGGCGGTGCTTAATGCTGCTCGCTCTGTTCTCGGGTTTTCGTCCTTTGTTGGTACAAATAATAATGATATCATATCTGTTTATTTAGGAGCATTGTGAAATTATGTTGTTCACTGCTGATATTCCAATGAATTTGTAGGTGGTAAGCCACTAGCACGATGCTGTGGTTTCTGGGTTGATTGGGATGAGAAGACCAAAATTGGCACTGCTTTGACAACTTCAAGTCTCATTTGTACTAAGTCTGCATCTATGGACAGTTGGTTAGGGCAAGAAGAGTATGATACTCATGCCTAAGCATGAGTAGAATTGATGAGTTCTATCCATTTGCTATGCCTATAGCTAGTCCCGCTGTACCTCTAGTTGATTCCAATTCAAAATACCTCTTTCTACTTGTGGTTGTGATATACTAGTTGCAAACTAGACATTTTATGTTGTAATTTTAGAAAAAAAAGTTGAAATCTTGCATTCTGCACCTGCTGTAGGTTCTTGTTCACATGCAGGGTGGCGCCACTGAAAAGGCCACCCTGCAGTACCATCAGAAGCACTATGATTTGGCCTTCTTCAGTGTTAGAATGGATCGGCCCGTTCATATACTTTCTTTCAATGATGGTGTGAAGCGTTCTGACCAAGTTTTTGAGCTTGGAAGAGATGAAAAGTCGTTTCTAAGGATAAGCCATGGTGTGGTGAAAATCTTGAATCCAAACCTGCTTGAACGGTATCACTATATGCATGTTCACAGTGCAGATCCACACCCCGATGTACAAACTGTTATCTTATCTCGAGACTGAATTGTACATTTGCTATTCTGGACAATGTATTTTATTGCGTATTTTGCAAATTATTGCTATTATGTCTTCTTGATTTCAATGCATTTTCTAGTATGGCATAGGAGGGCCACTCATTGACTTTGGTGGAAAAATCATGGGAATGGTCAATGGCAATACAAGCGGGTCTTTTATACCGTCTTCCATTTTAGTCAAGTGCTTGCATTTGTGGAGAAAATTTGGGTATGTTCTTGTTTACTTCTGTTTTTAGTGCCACTAAGAAGGCGTTTACCATCATTATGTCCCCTTCGTAAAGAAGATCTTCTCTAGTAAGGATTGAATGAAACACCTTATTGATGTTTGTGATCTATAGCAAGTGGATTTCATCAAATCTGTGCAGATTCTGGCCTTGTCTAGATCAATCCCAAGTTGCACAAACTTGGTTCTTCGTCTATTACTCTTTAGATCGAGTTGTTTCACTTTGGTGTCCTTCTGTTAGTTAAATTTCTTTCATATGGTGTAGCTTTACAGATCAACATGATCATATGATCAGGGAAGACAAAATTTGTCTAATCAAAATATTTGGTCTAGCATGCTTTTAAAAATATCTTGTCTTGCATTGGAGTTTTTATGATATTAGTAAATGCGCACGTGCAATGCACGCTGGTATTTGGGAGTAAATTAATTGTGTGTTGATATTAGGTAGGATATCAAGTACGTGTTAATTATATTAATAGCACAAATATTATTACTTTGGTACTATATTAATTGTACGCTAAACATGTTGAGCGCTCACCATTGGAGCAATCTAGGTCGTTGGATTGACACGATTTGATGGCCGAGATTAGTTGGATCTGCCTCTTTAGGTCTTTTTATATTGGTATATAGAGGATAAAGTATAGTTTGGTTTAATTGACATGATTCATTTTAGAAGGGTTGCTGCTTATGCTTCCTCAGTTATTAATGTATATCGGATGACTTGTTGATACAGGTGCATCCCTCGGCCCCAGCTTGGTATGAAATTTTGGTCAATCAAGTTTGTAGACATTGCTCTTGCTGAGAATATATTGTGCAAGTGTAATATTGATGATGGCCTTATTGTAAAAGAGGTATCTCTCTCCCTCTCTTTCTCTATAGATCAAAATATAGCCACACCAAACTAGGAGTGTATAATTGCTAATTTTATGCTCCAGCCAGACTGCATGAGCCACTCCCGGGAGAACCAACTGACTACACAACCCGCAACCCACACATATATGCTTTTGATAGTAAAAATGCTCTATACTATTGTTAATCTTGGAAAGCTTGGTGTTTTAATGTGATTCACGCGATTGTAAGTGGTAAGATGTGCATGCAAATAACCTGTATAGTGTTTTTTTCAGTGCAATTATGCGAGTGTTTGTCGTAAACTAAATAATGTGGTTATTTATTTGAACTCAGTTGTGTACTCATCTGTTGGTTGAAGTTTTAGTACTTGTCATGTTAGGTTGTACTCCCTCCATCCCATAATATAAGAGCGTTTTTGACACTATAGTGTCAAAAACGCTCTTATATTATGGGACGGAGGGAGTAATATATAGCGGAGTATCTAGTAAATGTAGCAAAGTACTAAAGTTGGTATGTGATGAAGTAACACTGGAGCATCTAGTAATGCACTCCTAGTAAGTTTGTAGTAAAACCATATGTACAAGTCATCTATGCGCACAATTGTATTTTTTGCTAGATGGTAAATGGATTTGGTACTGATATGCTTAGCAGGTACCTTTGCTAACCCAGTTTTACTACTTCAATTCATCATTTACCTCGTCTTCATATTAGAGCAGAGGCAAAAAAATTACCATGTGATCTCTAGGATTTACTATGCATTGTACAGCATAGTTTAGTACATGTTTTATGGTTGAGTAGGAGACTGGGAAACCAGGTACACAAGTGTTGGGCTCATTTGGATTTATGTTTGATCCTCTATTATACGTCACTGTACATCTTTACTAGTAGGACTTCTGCTATTACTACATCTCTGTGCATCTTTACTACTAGGACTTCAGCTTTTACACATGATTTGGACAGAGAAGTCAGGAATGCGGGGAGTTGTTGTTCTGATCGAGCGTGCACTTTGGCTGCATGCATGTTTATATTGCTCATTTCTAGATTTATGTTCCTTTCTTGAGTGTTTATGATATCTGCATTTTGAGTGGTTATTGTGACTCTTAGGTGTCATATGGATCTCCTGCTGAGAAACTTGGAATACTGGTCGGTGACGTCATTAATTGTTTCAATGGAGAACGCATCTCTACAACAGTTGAGGTAGATGCACTGTTGATATGTTTGAAGTAATACAAAAGTAAGACACTTATGTTAAATTCTATTGCTTTATGCTATTAACTTACATAAGTATTGCTGCTGTTGTCAGTTGGAGAATATGTTGCTAAGCAAATGCGAGGATGAAAATAATAGCCTTAATTCTGAAGTCAATGTCAAAGTAAGTTTTTTCTATGATTTTCTTTATGCATATTATTCATGCCTTTATATGGGAATAATATTAGCAAAATTTTGACACTGATAAATATATGATGTTACCTTTTTAGCTTGATGTGTTTCACATACGCAAGTCTCGCTGGAGTGACAGAACATTAACTGTAAAAGTGTCTGATGACAATGAAGTTGTTGCAACAGGAGGTATGTATCCTTTGCCAATCTATTCTATCTAAGGATCTACATTATTTCGTTTTGTAAATGGTTATTCACACATTTGCCACTGTGCCATAGTTTTTTTCATGCATTTGCTATTAGTTTCTCTCACCTTCCTCTGATTTTGCCACCGTGCCATTGGTCGGCACTAGTTAGACTCTGCTGGGCACTATGTATTAGCTGGGTAGCGGAAGCATTGAGTATTTTGGGCTATTGAAGATGTGAGAATTTACCAAGTATTTACAGTAGACATGCAGACTTAAAGCTCTTGCATGTCAGGTTGTGCTACTCTTGCAGAAAGATCTTCAAAATGCAATTTTAGTGCAAGTAGTAAGATCTTAGACCTCAGAGAAATGGTAGAAATTTCTCTGATGTATTACTCTACAAAAAGATAGGCCCCAAGCATAGCTATCACACAAAATTACTAAGTGCAGCTATCAAACAGAGAAAAGTAAGCAAGCATTAGGCTGCATACATGCTACATTGAAGGTTCAAGGCTGCACACAGCATTACAAGCAATACACAAGTTCTTACTTCCAAAAGCATCAGGACTGCATACATGTCACACGTGTTCTTCAAAAGCTCCTGGATTGCATACTCACTAATTTCAGAAGCAGCAGGACTGCATACTTGCCATTACAAGTCTGAAACCAAAATTTACATGGCAATAGTACCTGTCGCAGCTTCTGTAGCAATCTGATCATGTGGTGATGTTTGTGCCTGGTTTTAGTGCAGCATTTTTGCTACTTCAAATCACAGATCTTTTCCTTTGACCTTTTGCCACCACTTTCTTACCAGTCTTCCTGGATGTGCGTCGGACCATCAGTTTTACAAATAAAAAGAAAAGCATTAGTCTCCTGTAGCTAAAGAGATTCATCTGTTTTATAGAATTAATCAATAGCTAAATAAATGCATTAGTTTTACATAAGAACAATACAACAACAACAACAAAGCCTTTAGTCCCAAACAAGTTGGGGTAGGCTAGAGGTGATACCCATAAGATCTCGCAACCAACTCATGGCTCTGGCACATGGATAGCAAGCTTCCACGCACCCCTGTCCATAGCTAGCTCTTTGTCGATACTCCAATCCTTCAGGTCTCTCTTAACGGACTCCTCCCATGTCAAAATCGGTCGACCCCGCCCTCTCTTGACATTCTCCGCACGCTTTAGCCGTCCGCTATGCACTGGAGCTTCTGGAGGCCTGCGCTGAATATGCCCAAACCATCTCAAACGATGTTGGACAAGCTTCTCCTCAATTGGTGCTACCCCAACTCTATCTCGTATATCATCATTCCGGACTCGATCCTTCCTCGTGTGGCCACACATCCATCTCAACATACGCATCTCCGCCACACCTAACTGTTGAACATGTCGCCTTTTAGTCGGCCAACACTCCGCGCCATACAACATTGCGGGTCGAACCGCCGTACTGTAGAACTTGCCTTTTAGCTTTTGTGGCACTCTCTTGTCACAGAGAATGCCAGAAGCTTGGCGCCACTTCATCCATCCGGCTTTGATTCGATGGTTCACATCTTCATCAATACCCCCATCCTCCTGCAACATTGACCCCAAATACCGAAAGGTGTCCTTCCGAGGTACCACCTGGCCATCAAGGCTAACCTCCTCCTCCTCACAGCTAGTAGTACTGAAACCGCACATCATGTACTCGGTTTTAGTTCTACTAAGCCTAAACCCTTTCGATTCCAAGGTTTGTCTCCATAACTCTAACTTCCTATTTACCCCCGTCCGACTATCGTCAACTAGCACCACATCATCCGCAAAGAGCATACACCATGGGATATCTCCTTGTATACCCCTTGTGACCTCATCCATCACCAATGCAAAAAGATAAGGGCTCAAAGCTGACCCCTGATGCAATCCTATCTTAATCGGGAAGTCATCGGTGTCGACATCACTTGTTCGAACACTTGTCACAACCTTGATGAGGGTAATGTACTTTGCTGGGACTTTGTGTTTCTCCAAGGCCCACCACATGACATTCCGCGGTATCTTATCATAGGCCTTCTCCAAGTCAATGAACACCATATGCAAGTCCTTCTTATGCTCCCTATATCTCTCCATAAGTTGTCGTACCAAGAAAATGGCTTCCATGGTCGACCTCCCAGGCATGAAACCACACTGATTTTTGGTCACGCTTGTCATTCTTCTTAAGCGGTGCTCAATGACTATCTCCCATAGCTTCATTGTATGGCTCATCAGCTTAATTCCACGGTAATTAGTACAACTCTGAACATCCCCCTTGTTCTTGAAGATTGGTACTAATATACTCCGTCTCCATTCTTCTGGCATCTTGTTTTACATAAGAACAATAGTTTTACAAAATCTAAAGAAACGCGTTAGGCGAGGAAGAGTACCGAACAGTGCTTATACTAATAGAGGGACCAGTCTGTTCATCTTCTGAAAATTCTTGGTCAACTTACTGTTTGCAATTCTTCTGTATCTGGCCAAGTTGTCCACAGCATTTGCATTTCCTCTTTCTAGGCCCAACCTTGCATCCATTTCATTCAAAGCCTGGATTATATTCTTTGTTGGTCTCCTAGGAGGCCTTTTTGGTAAAGGGCATCCCGGTGCACGTAGCTCCTGCTTGCGCATGGTCCGGGGAAGGGTCCAACCACTTTGGGTTTTCTGTATGCAGACTTTCCCTGCATTTCTGCAAGAGGCTGTTTCTAGGACTCGAACCCATGAACTTATGGTGACAAAGCAACAGCTTTACCGTTGCGCCAAGGCTCCCCTTCAGGAGGCCTCTTTAGCAGAGGAGGATACGTTTGACATGTTGATATTTCCATAGCATTGCACGTATGCTGTTTGCATAAGCGGCTTATACTTCAACTTCGCTTACTGGTTCCCTAAGTGAAATGATGACAAAAATAGCATGGACACAAGGAAGGCCTTTGCACAGCCTACAGCTACATGCTCTCTTCTCAGTGTCAACTGGACGCTTCCATTCCATTCCATCCCATCTTTCTCTCTTGCATATACTTCTGCCTCTGAACTTTTGCTTCTGACCAGTCTTATCTTTTAGACATCTAGTTCTTTGATTAAGGTTCTGCATGATAGTTGTGAGAACTTAGTGACCCTTTGAACTTCTTCAGAAAATTGGCAGCCAGCTGCCTTATGCTCTCTATGCTCCACTCGCTAAAAGATGCAACCCACTGCACTCTCCCGTCCCTTGCATGCATCTGTGTGATTGACCAGACCAGCTGGATGGCCAGTGACTTGTTTTAGTCTCCCCATGAAGGCATAAATCCAGTCCAGGTGTCAGTGGATTCTGCATCCATAACTCCATAGGCTACCGGGTACAACCAATTTTGGCCATCAATACCACAAGCAGCTGCCAATTGTCCTCCGAACTTGCTTGTTAGAGCAGTTGAATCTACAGCCAAGTATGGCCGGCACCCCTCTAAGAAACCCATCCAACATGGCTTGACTGATGCAAACCCTTTGTTGAAGCACATTTTCAATTCGATTTCTTCATAATCAATATCAACAAACACTCGTTGGTGATACCATCTTTAAATCTGACTTAAATGTGCATACCAATTACCAAGTGGAAACTATCTTTCCCTTGCCCTTGTAAGTGTCATCTCCTTGCATTAAATGTTCTATGATGTGGAACTTTGATATGGCACTACTCTTGAAGTTTCTTCTGCAAATCTCTAGCACCAAGTGAAAAGTCTTTTTCTAACTAGTCCAGCATTGTAGCAACCCATGTTCTTGTAGCTGGCGTCAGCCTCTCACTTCTTTGAGCACGCCAGCAAGTATGATGACTGGGATAGGAGACAGAAATTATTAACACATGTAATCCACACATTATACATGAAGACCAACTATAAAACGTTATACTTAAAAAAGTTAAACCATCTTTCATATAAGTTGCATGCAGTTTCCATCCACAATAAACTCGTAGCAGAGGTGGATCACCTTTTTCGGTTCCATATCCATATTCTTTTTTATCGCAAAGGTTGCAAGTGCATTCTGAATTCAAACAAGGATAATTTGTCTCCTCCACAATTGGAGGATTATCTTTGTCATAGGACACTATTATTAGCCTGTCATCATCATCAGCAGCATCTCTGCAAGTCATTTCTGTATCCTCCGTAACAGTCAGCATATCAGGGCAGCACATAGTCCCCAGGCTCATCTATGTACCGTGTTTCACCACTAACAGTCTTAACACCAATGGCGGAGCTATGTTGGGGCCAGGGGGGGCCGCTGCCCCCCCCAGCCTTTGATCCATTCCTAAAGAAAAAATATTTAGGGAGGTTTAGATTAGACTTCTGTTAGCATTTGGC